GTATTCCTCAAAACACACCCTATTCCCTTTTCCTCATAGCCCTTGGCAACCACCATTCTACTTTTTATCTCTATGCATTTGACTCCTTTATGCACATCATATAGGAGGAATCATACACTCTTTGTTATTTTGTGACTGGCTTATCTCACTTAGCAAAATGTCCAAGTTTCATGCATGTTGAAGGATATATCAAAATTTCTTTAAAAGGCTGATAATATTGTATTGTATGTATATATCCCATTTTGTTTAGGGATTTATTCATTGATGGACACTTGGGTTACTTCTACCTTATGGTTATTGTGAATAATGCTGCTGTGAACATGGGTGTATGGCTATCTGCTTGTGACCCTGCTTTCAATTCTTTTGAGTACATAGACACATGTAGAATTACTGGATCATATAGTAACTATTTTTAATTTTTTGAGGAAATGTCATATTTTTTCCCTAGCACCTACACTATTTGATATTCTGAACAAAAAGTACACAAATTTTCCAATTTTCCTATCCTCACCATCCTTTTTTATTTATTTATATATTTATTTTATATTAGCCAATTCTTGCCCTATGCAAGGATGAATAAATAGCAAAGCATATGCATCATGAAAGCAATTGTACAAAAGCTTATTGGGACATGAGAGAAATAGTAGAACTGTAAAAATAATACATTGATATTTTGACTTATTAAATTTAAGTAAATACTAAAATGATTTGATTTTAGTAATGATTAAGTAAATACTACTATGATTTGATATACTTAGAATCTGAAAAGGTAAAATTTTACAATATAAGGGAGAAAGCTTTGTGACAAATGCCCTCACTGATTTTGAAGACAAAATAATATTGATGTGATCTGACTACAGTAAAGGAAACAAAATACACAATAAGTCATAAATCTAGTTTTCTAGTGTATTTGTCAACTTACAAGAGCAGAATTAAAAGAACAAAATGTTGAATTAGCCATGTCAGCGCTATATCTGAGAGTTGTTTCAGGGTGTAGATGAAAAGGTTATTGAATTGATGAGTAAGAATTTAAAATGTATAGCTTTTCCTGTATGTTGCAGATGGAAAAAATGAAAAGGAATAAATGAAACAAAGCTCTAGTGGAAAACACTATTGATTCCAACTTGTAGTCCAACATGTATAGGCTTGGAAATCATACTCACATCCTCACAATAAGTAAATAGTAGAATAAACTAAACAACTCCTCTTAGATCCATCTGATCATGAGGTTATAGGGCTAAGTTCTGCCCCCACAGCTAGAGAAGCAGCAGGTGGATACTTAGCTTCACAGCTGACCAGGAGCAGGAGCCCCTCCTGAAGAAAGTGTCAGTAGGAAATCTTAAAACTGTAGGTGCCAAATCGCTAGTTCAGTGTGGACCAGCTTGAGACTTAATATTACAAAGGGGTCCTCATCTCAGGGTCCCCCCACACTTTTGTGAGTATTGCCTCCAGGAGCATCATGAGGTTTCCACTCTGTTGGAGAAAAGTCTCTTTGTGTAGGAGAAGAATCATTTTGAAATATGCCCGAAGATCTCTGTTTTCCTCAATGAAAAAATATTTCACTAGACGATAACTAATGAGTTTTACCAATGCCCAACCACCCTTACTGTGGATAGCTAACAATAGTGTGTCAAAGTATGTGATGAAAACATGATGGAACTGCACTTTTACATTCCTCTCTCAGTAACTGACATATCCCAGGCAGTAAATGAGCCAGGATATGGTTGAACCAATTAACACCATTCATCAGCTGGATTGGACTGACATCTATAGAATAATCTCTCCCACAAGAGCAGAATACACCTTCTTCTCAAGCTCACATGAATAGTCACCAAGATGGACCACATTTTGGGCCATGACACCTTAAGAATGTAAAAGGATATAGATCCCATAAATTATGATCTCAGATGGCAACAGATTAAACTACTGGGAATAACAGAAAGCTGGAAAATCCCAGAATATTTGGAGGTTAAATTACACACTGCTAATTAACACATGAACCAAAGAATAAACTGGACTTCATTAAAATAAAAAAATGTCTGCTCTGTGAAAGACACTTTTAAGAGAATGAAAAGATAAGCCACAGACTGGGAGAAAATATATGCAAAACACAAATCTGACAAAAGACTTCTATCCAAAAGATACAAAGAACTCAGGAATAAGAAAACAAATAACCTAGTTAGAGTGTGGTCAAAAGACTGAATGGACACCTCACCAAAGTACATGTACAGATAGCATGAAAAAATGTGCACCATTGGATGTCACTAGGGAATTACAAATCTAAACAACAAATATAGGCCACTACATACTTCTTAGAATGACAAAAATCCAAAACACTGACAATACCAAATGTTGGTAAGAATGTGGAGCAACATGAACTCTTATTGGAAATGCACAATGGTGTAACCACTTTGGAAGACAGCTTGTCAGTTTTTTACAAAGCTAACCTTAGTTTGACCATACATTGCAGCCATCTCCTAAGTATTTATCTGAATGTTTGAGAACTTTTGTCTACCAAAAAACCAAACCAAAAACCTGTGGCCTAATTCTTTTAACTGCCAAAATTGAAAGCAACTGACTTGGCCTTCAGTAGGTAAATTAATAAATAAACAGTGATACATCTAAACAAAGGAAAGTTACTCAGCAGTAAGAAATGAGCTATCAAGTCATGAGAGGACATGGAAAAAATTTAAATGCATATTACTAAGTGAAAGAAGCCAATCTGAAAAGGCTGCAATAACGCATGATCCCAGCTCTACGTGACACTGAGAAAAAGGGAAAAATACAGAGACAAGAGCACCACTTGCTCGGAGCAGGGATGGAGGGAGTAAGCAGAGCACAGAGGACTTTTAAAACAATGAAAGTGCTCTCTGTGACACTGCAGACACATGACATTAGGAATTTGACAAAACACACAAAAAGAACCCTGGCATAAAGCATGGACTTCAGTCAATATTAGTATCTTAATACTGGCTTGTCAGTTGTAACAAATGTGTCACACTAAGGCAAGATGTTATTAAGGGGAGATTCCGGGTGCGAAGCGAAGGAGTGTGCGGGAATTGTATATTCTTTCTGTTCGACTTTCGCATAAGCTAAACTGCTTTACAAGGTAGAGTCTGTTAATTAAAATATAATATCCTTCTCTATCTTTTATGTAATTCCTTTGTTTTTTTATACCCTTCTCTTTCTTTTTATGTAATTCTTTTATCTTTCTATAATTCTTATATCTTTCTAAGTGTGAGGTAGAAGTGCTGGAACTCGTTCAGCGGTTAGTCCGGGGCCAGTTTTAGCAACTTGGGCTTTAGTTTTAGCATCTGCAAAATGGAAGCAGTAATTTTTTAAAAATAGCAGCTGTGTGCATTTCTATCACTAAAATAAAACAGAATGAAGTACTTGATTTATGCTGTAACATGGATGAACATTGAAAACATGCTAAGTGAAAGAAGCCAGATACACAAGGCCGTCTGTTACATTTTTCTGTTTATGTGAATATTCAGAGTAGGCAAATCCAGAGACAGAAAGCAGATTAATGGTTACCAGGGTCTGGAGGGACTGGGAAAGGAGGACAGGGATATGGGGTTTCTTTCTGGGGTGTTGAAAATGTTCTGGAACTAGATAACAATGATGGTCTCACAACTTTGTGAATGTACTTAATACCACTGAGTATTACATCTTAAGATGGCTGAAATGGTAAGTTTTATATTATGCGTATTTTATCACGATGAAAAATAAAAGGGAGAATAGGGGAAAAAAGTTCCTGAGTGAAATTTTCCCATAGGCAGTAGTTCAAAACAAAGCCTGGCATTATATATTGAAATGATTCACAAAATTCTAATACTCCGTGTAAATTTGTTGGAAAAGCCCCACACTGATATATATCTTAGAAAATGTCTTAAAATATGTTGGTAAAGAAAGTTCCTGAATGACTAAACAAACAAACAAAAAAACCCGTATTTTCTATAGAGTAGCAAAAATCAGGCTGAAATAAACATTTTGCTATGCTGAATTTAGAAAAAAATTGAGGGAGTAGTGGTTATAAGAGTTATAAAGGGAAAAGAACCTGAAGGGGGGAACTTACTTACCCAAAGCCATGTGGTTCCCTGCACTGTTTGCTTATTACCATCTGCATATATTACTTTAATAAAAATAAAAATAGCAATAATCATTAAGTGAATAAATTCACTGTTTTTGTTTAGTTTTGAGAGATGCTAAACCTTCTGTAGCAGTCGTGATTTCTTGGCAAGATTTTCTTTGCATTATTTTCCATTAGAAATAGGAATTTTTCTTTTCTGAAGTGTTCTCACTCAGTCTCAGTAAATACTATTTTATATATAAAAACTCACACAAACATATCAGTGAGAAATCAAATAGTTAAATATGGTCACAATTGAGTAGTTTAAATTGTTCCTTGATGAGTATGTATTACTGTTAAAATTAGAAAATGAGGTTTTTTTTTTCTCTAAGCAGATACAATTTTGTGTGATCCTCACCCTTCACTCACGTAGCACAGCTCCAATTGAAGGCTGAACACCAAATGTGAATGGTGGAAATCACTGAGGATTGGGGCCATGAACTTGCCATATTATTTCTCTGTTTTTCCATATGTTCACTGAGACATTAATACAGTTGTTATAATGAAAATTTATTTAAAAAAATCTGAGACTGAATGATGTTCAGTCATTGAGGGTTCATGTGTTCACATACATTGTTTTGGTGGGACAGTGATGGCTCCGATAGCTATTTAGAGAGCGAGCCGTATGCGAACTACAGAGTTCAAGCACATTATACGTGCTTTTCTTTAATACAAAAGCAGTTGCGGCCTTGGAGCCCAGCCTGTTCTAATTGACATGGATTGCTGCTCCTTCACTGAACCCACGGGTGCTTAATTTAACTGCATTGGACAAAGTAGGATGAAATTGTGGGTGAGCCAGATTTAGGAGATGGTGACGTTTGTCTGGGAAGTTGAGTTTTCTGGACTGTGCTCCTGCTTCTCTTTACAGAGAGGATGTGGATCTGTCATTTGCTGGCTCGGCAGGCATTTGCATTGGCTACTGTCCACAGCAGGATGCCCTGGACGAGCTCCTGACGGGCTGGGAGCACCTCCAGTATTATTGCAGCCTCCGCGGGATTCCTAGGGCGCTCGTCCCTGAGGTAAGGCCCCTGGGGTTTTCCAGGGAAAGGATTCCACTGAGACAGGCCTGGTCAGCACCTTTGGGCCCAGCACTGCTCTCCTAGCCCCTGAAGGTGCCACTGGTAGAAAGGACAGGCCTCCCGCCCTCCCTGCTGCAGAGCGGACAGCAGCCCCAGCCCAGCACCCCTTCCAAGCAGGAAGCCACCGAAGGGCAGGTACTTGAGCAGTTGTACCTTTTCTGTATCTTCCTGTAGAGAGTCAGGTTTCTCTTCACATCTCAGGATTCTGCACATGGACCAGACATAAGGGGCTTGTGGGATGCATTTTCCGTGAGGATCTGCAGGAGATGGAGCGTCATAGGATTCACAGGAGACGAGAACTCAGCCATTGCCTTCCCCAGGCCGCTGTCCTGTAAAGCTTCCTCAGCCCTCATTTCTTACCTCTGCTCTGTAACCAAATGAAACCAAAACAGAATTTCTGCTCGTCCTGGAGTTGGGGGAGCCCTGGTCTGTTCACTGGCCTCCCATCTTAATAAAGCAAAGCTAGCCATCCACCACAGGAGACCTGCTCCTCGCAGCTCGGCAGCTTTGGAAATCCAAGACTAAGGTTGGACTCAGTCTCTAAAAGGTGTTTGTCCCTGCCAGTGTCCCCTGGTCAGCTTTTGATTAAAGAGTTGGGTGCTTGGCAAACGCCTTAAGCTGGCCCTTTCTTTTCCCCAGCGGGTTAATTCATCCTTTGAAAAAGTTCTTGTTAACAGAGTAAAGCTTGGTGCCCAATCTAGGACACCTACCTTCTGATACTTGGCTGTCTCTCTCTTCATTTTTCTGAGCTCCTCCACTGAGAAAAGCCACTTTAATAGTCCCCAATTAGGAACTGACTTCATTTCTTTCATGAAACTGCCACTGGTGTTGCAGACAGGATCACTAGTTGCTTGGAGAGGGCTGAGATGTCAGCACTGGTGTTCCCAGAGGAGTTAGCTCCCTGCAGGGCAAGTTTCCCTTTCCTTTGAATTCTAAAAATATTTTAAATTTAGAACAGGGATCTCCATTCTAATGTGCTTATCATGAGGTGACCTGAGGACTTATTATGGAATTATTGTAAAATGATTGAAAAGAACAGTCTTAGCCAATATTTCCAGGCACTGTTCATTATTCTGGTCCAGGCACTGTTTTAAGTATTTTGTAGCAACCCTATGAGGTAGATAAGATACTTACTCTCTATTTTACAAATGGGGGCTCTGAGGCACAGGGAGGGTGGGACACCCAAGCCCTGTGGCTAGCTTTGGTGGGATAAGGCTGCTCAGGGTACCTGTTCTTGAGTAAGATGCTACCCTGATGGCTTAGTCAATTCAGGTTGCTAGGTGTGTGAGAGAATTTCTGGTGCCCCGGATGGCTCGGTTTTATTTTCTCCACCCCTTTGGTGGCTAAGGAAGTGGGAACACAGTGGGAGGGAATTTGGCAGGTGAGCTGGGCCCCCCAGCTGTGCATCTGCCCTCCCGTCCCAGGACGTCAGCTATGGACGAGATCCTTTCTGGTATATCTGTTGCTCACGTGGGCTCCCTTCACCAGACTGCTGTCTTCATGGTAACATGGGCAACCACGGTTGTCTCTGTTATGACTCTTGCACTTACAAGTGGGGAGAAGTCCTCCTGCCCTCCCCTGCCCTGAACCACGGCTGGCCCCTCTGCTCCTCTGCCCCCAGGGCTCCTGCTCAGGAGGGCTTTTTTTGTATAGCCATGTTGCTTTCTCCATCAACCCTCCAAAAGTTCAGCTGGGTGAAAAAAGATGCTGGCTTGGCAGGTTCATGTAATGATATTCAAGTTTTCCCCATTGTCTACACTACATAATTTTGCTCACTGACCATATTTGAGCCTGAATTAAATTAACCTGGCTGAAAATGAATTTACATTAAGTTAAAACAAAATGATTCAGGAGACAGGGTGCTAAAGAAATTCATATGGTAATGTAAGAATTAGGGTTTGTTGACCCAAAACAGGCAAAGTCTGAGGCAATACATACATTGTTTTGGTGGGACAGTGACGGCTCCGATAGGCATTTATTTGGGATTTTGGGACTGCAGTCCCAGAGGCTATATACTCCAAGGAGGCGAAAGGACTTAGGGTTTTTAAAGGAAAATTAAGGGGTTTATGTGAGTTTTTTTGAAGGAATCATGATTGGGTAAAGCTATTGTAACCTACATTTAGCTGTACCTGATTGGTGGCTAAGGTTATTCACTAGGCAAAAGTCCACTTTGCTGTGGGCAGCAGGTGCCTATCCAGGATGTTTAGAGTTTGACAGAATACAAAGTTTAATGGTCTTTCAAGAACAGTCAGTTTACGAGCATGGAAGCCCTTTCTATAATGGTCCCCCACCCCCTGCTCTATTTTACTCTACTCTCCTTGTCAATGGTAACTCCATTTTGTCTCCATTTACATGTCGTAGCAACACAGCCATCCCCCCCCCCCACCCGTACCCTTCACACTGCCGAAGGGTGAGGAACAGGATGTGCGTATTTCAGTTCTGCCCACGGTAGAAGAGGTAGAGTCCTCAGCCATTTAAGTTTGTTAACACCTGCAGAAACTCATCAGGGGAACCCCTCCTGCATCTTGTATTTTCTATAGACGTGACTGTTACCCTGAAGTTTTCTGCCATTCAGAGTCAGTTTTGTTAGAAGAAGCTGGAAGTTGTAAGGCAGGAAAGATGGGGACAGGGAAATAGAGGGAGGCTCAGGAGGAAGGCATGTCGTCTTAAAGCCCTGGCTCCTTTCCCCCTAACTCCTCATTCTAATCTTTAATCTCATGGAACATGTTGATGTGGCCATCATGCGTGCTAGTGGATAAACTTGGGCTTTGGAACCAAACAGATGTAATGTGAGTCTCTGGGTGATTATTTTGGCTCAAATAAGATTTACATACATGTCAAACATGATTATGCAACTGGGGATATGAAGGTGAATGAGTCCCAAACTCTTACCTTGAGTGTGGCACAATTTCTAGGACTTTATGGGAGAAAAATAGTAACAGAGAATGCTTCTTTAACGTCTGACATTTGGGGGATGAGACAGTGTTTTGCCAACCATAACTACCAAGGCAACATGTTTGTAATTATTTTGACAGGAGTCCAGAGTGAGAGCAGGAAAACTGCTACAAAAAACTTTTTATTATACCATTTTCAGTTATTTTCTGAAAACATGACATTTGGAAAGCATTTGATGAAACCAGTCCATTTTCTCTGTACATTCTCTACCCTTTGCTGTGGTTATCCCATCTAGAATGTGCAGGCGGCAACATCTAACCTGCTGTGAAATAGGGCCAACATAACATATGTTTCCTGGTTTCATCAAAAAAATGCAGTAATAGTTTGGCAAGTTTATTCAAAAGTTCCCTTCTCATTCTGAAGTGCTGTTCTAGAGTGCCAGGTGCTTTTATTATTAGTTTTATTTCATTTTTCTGTCTATCAGCTTTATTTTACATATTGCTAGTCTTTGAATAAGGTGGATGGGAGTGAAATAATCACTTTTATACGCACATGTTTTTATAACCTTTTTTAAAAATTGTTATGAGTCTTAAAGATAAGCCAAATGTCGTTTTCCCAATGTGTCATTTCTGCTGGCCCCGCAGCTATTAGCACTCATCCTTCCAGAAAGTGAAATCCTCCTAACAGAGTCTGCCATTCTCTTAGGTTCTCCTTTCAATCAGACAGTGCCTTCTCTTCCAGGAAGCCTCCCTGGCTCCTTCCTGCCACTTCTCTTGAATCAGTGCCCACCTCTTCACTGGTCTTATTCATCTGAGAAAAATGATGGCTCCAGTCTGATCTCTCTAATCTTGCAACACCGGCCTTGTGTCTCTTCATCCATCACATAGCAGTGCCATAAGTACTTGTGTCTGCATGAGTTGAATCAGTTGTTTTATTGGAACAATTTTTTATTTATTTCAATACATTTTTATTCAATTTGGGCTAGTTAAAATAGTTGGATTACCTAAAGCAATCTGGGAAAATGACGCTACTTTATATGGTTTCTAGTTAGAATAAAAGTATTGGCCCCCAGATGACATTCTTTGGCTGATACCAGGAGATTGCACACCATCTTCATGAATCTGGAAGCTTGAAATCTAGGTTCCCTTGACTTAAACTATTTGGCAACTAGACCAGTCTTTGAGAGTCTTACTTCTATCTCTATTATTTGAAGGCTTCACAATAAAGCAATAGAACAGTTTGTGTTCAGAGTTTTTATTAGGAGGCATAAATATTATGATCATTATCATTATTAGTGTTATCCCAACTTTTGCTCATCTATCCAAAGAGTACATGCATTAGTTTAAGGCTGTGTTATTTAGTGATGAGGACATGCACTTATTAGGCCATCTTCATAGCTGTGTAGTTGTGTAGAGTTTTTCCCACTTCTCCTAAATTTGCATTATGATATGCTCTTGACCAGTTTGATTATATGAGGACAGCCAAGAAAAGTCAAACCTCTGTGACTACAAGAGTTAAATAGAACTACTGGCAAAAGTTTCAATTATGCAGAATTGGAAACAAAATTGTTGGTCCCCCAGAGGACCCCCTAGCACAGCCCATCCAACTGGAAGCAATCAAAATATAGCCTGGCTAAAATATAACCTGGGGTGAATTGCATCTGGGCTGCTGAGCAGAAGGGTTGTGTGGACACATGTCAAGCACTGAAGAGGGGACCACGACTCTGCTGAGGAGAGACTCAGAAATGAGCTGGGCCTCCCAGGGTGTGTGCGGCAGTGGGAGCCAGCAGAGGAGGGAGCCCTGAGCTGCCCTACATACGGGCGATGACTTGATAAAATGGTTCCCAGTAGTTAACAAATAAGAAGCACCTCCCTCTTCTTTTCCTACCTCTGGTTTGTATAAACCAAACCCTGAATGGGCAGTCTCTGCCCATGGTTCCTCTGTGGAAGGGGAGCCTTCCTGTGTGAATATTAAAAACCCTTCCTTCCCTCTCTGTTTATTCCTATCCACTTCCTTCCCAGTCTTCCTTTTGTCTCCTTTGTCTGCTCAACTCAGTGTGGCTTGAGGGTCTGGCCCAGTCTGGACTCTCTTTTACAGCCCATGTGGCTCCCCTGAGCTGCAGCCCTGAGTATGTGGGGGTCGTGATGACCCACAGGCACAGAAAACCCAGCCTGGCTGAGCAGAGCCCACCTCTTCTTTCTCAGTTAGCCAATGTCCTGAGGGGGCTGGGTTTGGGCTGTTTCCACTGCATGTGGGGAGTTGGGCAGGGGTCCTGGGGAGGCGCAGGGCTGGGAGCCAGGTGAACAGAAGGGATGCGTTCATGGAGAGCTTCTCTCTTCCAGGTTGCAGGAGACCTCGTAAGGCGCTTACACCTGGAAGCCCATGTGAACAAACCAGTGGCCACCTACAGTGGGGGAACCAAAAGGAAGCTCTCCACAGCCCTGGCCCTGCTGGGGAAACCAGACCTTCTCCTCCTGGTGAGCAGTGGAGATCCTAGCAGTAGCCCATGTCCTTACAAAAGATGCCTTTAACCTGTCAGACTGCCTAAGCAGAATCTAAAGTGCCATTGGAGATATAGTCACTGTTATTCAAGAAGTTGAAGATTCAATAAAATTGAATTAAAACATTAAAAACATATTTTAGAAGAATGTCAAATTCTCCTGTAAACCAAAGACCAGTACCTGTCACCTAGCATATTGCTCCTCAGCCTTTTTCTCCCTGCAGACAGGCTTGTCATGGCTGTAGAGACACACGTCCCTGGTGAATCCTGACAGTGGCCCTTGGGGTGCAGGGAGGACATGTGCAGGAGGGGTGGGCATTCAGCAAGAGCACAGAGCAGGTGTCATGGCCTTGAGACAAGGCCACCTGTGATCCATGTGGGAATGGCCCTGAATCCCATAGGGCTGGATGAAAGCATGAATTGGAGGTGGTGAGTGTCAAGAAGTAGAGCCCATTGTCTTGCATTTAAAAATAGCTGAAATCAATAGCATCAAACAATAATAAGAGTCATTGTTTGAGTGCCACACACTGGATGCTCATCACTAGGGTGTGTCCAAGGGCTTTACCCTTGTACAAAATCAGAGGGGAATCAGAAAGTGTGGGAAGCAAAATAAATTCTTTTTTCTTTCTGTTTTTGTGCGTTAAGTGGAACCAGCATTTCAGTGATGGTGGTGCTGCAGGGTGATAGGGCGGATTTAGAAGGCCTGAGTTGTAAGAATGGCCATCGTTTATGGGTTGACTGCTGGAATCTGAGCTGAATTTCTGTTTTATTTGCTTTAGGTTTGCTTTTTTCCAAGGCCCACATCAAAGACTGTTGCATAATTCCATATCCTGAAATGCAGCAATAAACACTGAAACATGCAGTTCTGCTGTTTGCAAACCATACTTTCCTTACCAAAGGAGGCAGCCTTGTGCTGGAGAGTTCACAAGACTGGGGTGTGGGTTACCTTTTGCCCAATTTTCCCTGCTTGGCCTTGCTTATTGTTTTTGCACATGGTTGGGGTCCCCTGCCCTGGAGCCTGATGCCCGCTCATCACAGCCTGCCCCCTCCACAAGCCTTGCTCTGGTTGCCCAGGACCCTGGCCTGGCAGTCACGTGGGACTTGAGTCACCTGCCGGGGTAGATCCTGCTTCTGTAACTCCCCACATGCCACCTTGTGCATCTGTCTGTGTTTTCTCCTTGTCTGAAAATGGTTCTGAGTGTAGTACCCGTCAACTGGTATTGCTGAGAGCCACCCATGAAGGAATCCACACCGAGCACGTGGCCCACAGCAAGCGGCTGTGACCGTGGTGATGGCTCGTGTTCCGAGCATCTGCAGAGAGACAGCATTGAAGGGCCCTGAGTGTTTTCCCCCAGAGAAGACGGGGGAGGGGGCTTCCACAGCTGATACCATCGCGGGGACCAGGAAAACCTAGAATCATACACCCAGTGCTCCTACCGAACAACGCATGAGCATACCTGCTACTGGCTTATTTTTATAACTAGACACATACAGCATTTGACTTGCAGAAAAGACCAGATGTTTGTTTCCCTTGTCTGTACCCTTTCTGGTTCACTTCCCGTCTACCTTTTCCTCTGGGGAAGATGATGATCATGAGCTTTTAAGAAAAATGTGTTTAGTACTCTCTGATTACAGAAAGCACAGACTAGAAACATTTTTCTCAAAAGTGTTTCAAATAAGAAGTGCTTAGTTTTATTGAGGAGAAAGCTTCAGGTTCTCATAAATTGCACTTTACTTGATGTTGTGGAATAAATGAAGCCTTTTTTCTGCTGTTGTATGAGTTTCTAGGGTACATCATTCTGAAATGGTAGAGGTTGGGGGTACATCAAGGTTGGCCTGCCTAATGGGTCACCAAGGGGAACTCGGCTGGCATGAAGACATCGACTGGCTTTGCTGAGCACAGAGCACAATGGCTGTGGAGAACTGTCCCTGAGCCAGCACTGGACAAGTCCTCTTGTGGGGCCTGGCCTCCTGGTGGGGTGTGTCTTCTTATGTGCATTCTCCCAGCACACTTTATGGTCTGTTTCCTCTCCTTCAGGATGAGCCCAGCTCTGGGATGGATCCCTGCTCTAAGCGGTACCTGTGGAAAGCAATAATGAAGGAGGTTTGGGAAGGCTGTGCTGTGGTGCTGACCTCCCACAGGTGAGCACATCTGGAGAGGCTGGGGGCAGGCAGGAGCTAGGATGCACCCAGCATAGCTCCATAGCAATCATCTCCATAGCAACACCATGACGGTGATGCCATCATGAGTCTCCACCGTGTAGATTAGGACACTGAAGAAGAGAGGGTAAGTCATATGACCAAGGCCACTCTGGCGGCACACCCCTGCCTCACCCGTCAGTCCTGGAGGGATGGGCTCCCCCTCAGCTCTTGCTGAAGCCATATTTCAGATTCTTTCCATCTAAGATTTTCTATCCAAGCAGGAGAATTAGCTGAAATGAAAAGTTCCCAGGCTTCTGAATTTGGTCTCATATTTCCCCCCTCACAGAATATATCTCATAATGAGATTTCAGAAGAGTTGGCTTGTTTTAAATTTTATTCTACATCGTTCTTAGCCACACAGCAATATGACCTTAGATTCCATAAAACCTGTTCATGGAGAGTGAGCAGTGTGATTTGGCTAATAAAAATCCTGAGATATAATGCAGTTCAGACTTTGAAGATTAGACTTGTTTTCTTCCTGTGTTTAAGTAAAATATGCTGAAAGTTAAGTGTCAGGAACTTTGAAGAATCTGAGATTCTACCTCACTTGCAAGCCAACCAGTTTGGCTTGCATTTCACGGATGCTTCCAGAAGGCATGAGGCCTCTGGGTCAGAGATAGAAGGCTTAGCTATTTACAGTAAAAACAGTAATCAGATGCCATTAAGGTCCCACTGGTTCCCTGAGCCGCACCTATCCAGGGGTAATGTAGGTAGGAGAGATGATGCCTAAACACCCAAAGAGGACACCAAACCTGGGGACCCACATCTTCATAGCAACTGATTAGCAAGCCAACTCTGTGTTTGGGGAAAATTCCTCCTCATTCTTCAAGGTTGAAAATACAATGTGAGAAATGGCTCAGGTGCAGAGCTGCCAGTTCTCCGAACCTTGGTAGTTCCTAGTGGGATATGTAGGAGCGTGAGGGACCCTGCCCTGAGGAGTGTCACCCAGTGGTTAGTGAGTCCATAGGTCTGTGCAAGATGGGGTCACCCACTCCTTCTTGCTGGAACTTAAATATAAAGCTAGTCTATCATTTGAAATGTGAGATTTCTGAGAGGCTTTCAGGAGACTTTGTCGATGACCCCCACCAGCATTATCAGTTTATGTACAGTATTGGGTGCTGTTAATATTCAGGCTCAATCCTATCACACTTAAATCTTAGAACCAGTTGCTATAATAAGTGTTGGTGGCCACCCTGAAATTAAAGCTAAGTCAGAAATGATGCCGTACAGAGTGTGGTGAAGATGAAGACGACAAAATAGACAGACCTTGCTTCATGGTCTTCCACCTCTGCTCTCTCTCTCTCTCTCTTTTTTAACTTTAATACTCACTCATTGATGGTTTCCATATTGCCCAACATTCCTGAATTTTCAATGCCAGTCAAAGCACTGCCATTTTTAAAAATAGGGTTTTTTTGAGGTATAATTTATGTACTATGCAATTTACCCACTGAAAGTATACCATTCTATGAGTTTTTAGTAAAATTGTGGACCTGTGTAACTGTCCCCAGAATCCAGTTTGGGACATTTCCATGACCCTCAACATTTTCTCATGCCTGTTTTTAGTTAATCCCCATGCAAATCCCAGACGTTCTATCTCTGTAAGTTTGCTTTTTATAGGTATTTCATATAAATGGAAGCATATAACGTACAGTCTTTTGTATCTGACCTCTTCACTTCTGATGGTTTTGAGGTTCATCCATGCTGTAGCATGTATCAGCAGTGTGCATGTTTTCATTGTGCAACAGCATTCCACTGTGTAGCTAGACCACATTTTGTTTATTCACCAGCAGATGGCCCCTCGGATTGCCTTCTGTGTTTGTCTGTTTTGTATGATATATTATAAATAGTCACACAATGTCTTTGTATGGACATATCATTTTATTTCTCTTGGTTAGATTTTTAGGCACCAAACTGCTGGGTGGTATGGTAAGTTTGTGCTTCACACTTTAAGAAAATGTGGAGCTGTTTTCCAAAAGTGGCTCTATCATTTTATGTTCCCAGGGCCAATGATGAAGTTTCTAGTTTCTCCACGGTCTTGTTAATACTGTCTTTTGAATTATAGCCATTGTAGTGAAGAGTTTCTAATTTACATTTTCCTGATGAGTATGTCATCTCTTTGTCTTCTCAGCTACACTGTTTCTTAGAGGAAGCCAACCATTGATAGGTCTAATGCATTTCTGTATATCTGGAGTCATTTTTGTTTTGCTAATTCAAGATTTCTCTCTGGATCTCTGCATTCATTCTACCTGGGGTTCACTGTACTTCCTGAATTTGTAGATTAGTGTTTTTCAGTGAGTGTGGGGAGACTGGCAATTGTTTATTCAAATATTTTTTTCTGGCTCTATTTACCTTTATTCCTTTGTCCATACACTGATCCTTTCAGTGTAAGGATTCTGGAACTCTTGATGGTGCCCCACAAATCTGTGAGTTTCTGTACATTTCTTTTCAGCGTTGTTTTTCTCTGTTCTCAGATTTGATAATATTTATTGATCTATGTTCAAGTTCATGGAGTCTTTCTTCCACTGTCTCAAATTTGCTGTTGGCCTCTCTACTGAAGTGTCCATTTCATTTATTATACTATTCAGCTAAAAGTATTCCATTTGATTCTGTTTTGATAATTTCCATTGCCTTCAGAATCTCTATTTGTTGATTATTATTGTCATAATTTTCTTTAATTCTTTAAACATAGTTTCCTTTAGCGCTTTAAATATATTCATAGTAGCTTCTTTTTTCCTGTTAAATCTAACATCTAGAGACACTTAGAAATAGTTTCTATTGATACTGACTGCTTTTTCCCCTGAGCATGGAAAACATTATTTTTTCTGTAATAAATGCTGTAATTTTTTTTGTTGAAAACTAGACATTTTACATAATAAGTTTTAGCATCTCTGGTTTCCGGTTCTGATTGTTGTCACTGACAATTCTTTTTTTGGGGTGGAGGGTTGCTTGTTCTTTTTATGTGTCTGTTAATGTTTCTTTGCCTTTTCCCCTGCAGTGAGTAGCTGCTGATGCCTCTGCTCATATATATATATATATTTCATTTTTAGAGCCTGGATTCTTTGGAGTTACCCTGAGTTTATATAGGTAGAGGGTCTCCTCAACCATCTCACGCCAACAAAGATTCTGTCCTCTGCCAGTGTATCTGTGTGTAGATAGGGGAGAATATTCCAGGTTCAGGCCACCTTCTAGTTGGCCAACTTTAGCTTCTTCCTGGGTTCTTCTGGTTTCTGTGATGTGCATGTGGGTAGCCTTTGGGTTAACTTGAAATGTGGGGCTGGTATGGGTCTTCTCTGGCTTCTGCTACATGTGCACACAGCCTCAGGGAAATATCTATGTGGTAGAGCCCACCTCAGGCCTGATATGGGAGCTCTTGGTCTTTCCTGTTTGCTTGGCTCTAAGGGGGTTGCAAACACTGACAGTGTGGCTGGTATGAGCCTTGTCCAGTGGCCCTAATTGAGTGCACTCCCCCACCAGTGGCAGAAAAGCTGCCAGCTCTCACGGCCTGTCCTGCAGCTGCGCACTGAGGGAGCTGCAGTGCCACAGATTGCCAACCTTCCTACCCCAGGTTTAGCGAACTGTCAGCTGTAAGTCAGCTGTAAGTGTTTCTCAGATTGTCCGATGCCTTTGGTTGATTTTCAGAATTCAGAAATGCTTGTTTTTGTTCATTTTGTCATTTTGTAGTTGTTTTTTGGGGAAAAAATTTACCAGTTTTTTCACCTGACCACAGCCAGGAGTCCTGCCCTTGTCTTAAAATATATATATTTGGTCTTCTGTTTTTCTCTTTAGAAAATAACATCTGACATTGAAATGAATTAAATCCTCTTATTTATCATTATGTATATACATTCTTGCTTAAAATTGATCTTTTTGCTGTGCCAATTCCAGAAACTCTGTACATTCCTGTGTTCATTATGCCATGTTTGTTAGGTCCACTTGTAATGTGTAAGCTCTAAAACTGGGTAAACTGGTGTTATATTGACAATTCCTTCTAATTTTCATATAGCATGTAATCACTGCAGACGGTTCTCAGAAAGACCACATATCACTGTAATTTTTCTCTTTTGCATCCCCCTGCCCATATGGTTTCACATTAATGATGTATCTTCATTTCCATAAATCTGGCCATATTCATGCCTTACAAAGATCTAAATGACTCACTATTAATGAAGAATGGGGTGGCTTTGATGGATAATGTGTTAGTGAAACAGCTGCCTTCAGCTGAGAAGTCTCCAAATTGCAGTTTCCTCTTAGCTTTGGTTCTGTCTCCCTTTCCTCTTCTTACTCCTTACCTAGAGGACCTGGTGGAAGTGTGGGGCAAGGAACTGATTGATGTACCCCACTCCACTGTTCTCACTGGAAGGTATTAACATGAGTCCACCCTTCAGACACTGATCCAGGAGCTCCATATAAGTCATTAAATCTGCATCACCTGACCATTGTTGTGGTCCAGTCAGCTTAACCACCCACAGAAAATACAGTGTCCATTTTAAAAGTAAATAGAGCTTATTTTCATCAGGGTAGAACCCTGGCTTTGTGTGTTCTTGATACTGAAGATCATCACCATCTCTCAGGCTCTGCCCTCTAGGCTGTAATTTACATGGTGCCCCATGTGCTTGGTTCATGTTTGTTTGATAGCTAATAAACTGAACTACAAAGTCATTACTCCGAGGTCTTTATTACCATCAGTGGTTATTTGGATCTCTACTCATCTGAGCTCTGTTTAAGTATGTAATATAGAAATGATTGCATATTCTATGCTTTAATTAGAGTGCTTACTATGCACTCATAAAAGTAATGAGATTGTATTAAATTGAAATTCAAGAAACAGAGAGAAAAATAGGTTTGCACAGAAAAATATGTTAAGCATATTGGAATGTATTATATAGCATGTATTACTTAGACTTCATGTTAAACTATTATAACAAAGACCCCAAATTGCA